CCACCCACCCACCTGAGCTCCAGACCTGCCTTCCACCTGCAGGGCACCCGACGCGGCATGCATTCTGCGTCCCCATGGCCACGACAGGCCATTTCCTGATGCCAGCTCTTCTCAGTGACATCCGACAGCCCCTGATCGCATTACACATCTGTCTCTCCATCACGCTGAGCCTCTCTCTCTCTCTCTCTCTCTCTCATGATCCTTCTGAGGCGCAGATAAGGGAGTCACGTTGCACGTCAGCTTTGATTACAAAGCCAGCCCGTAGGTGACGATCAAACACACTTAAAATTACACTCGAGCATCTTAAATCATCCAGAAGTCACTGTAGTACAAAGTTCAAGTCCAACAAAGCCTTTTTTCTGTTTGTTTTTACTGCAACAATAAAATGGCTTGTTATTTCTTCAGCTAAACACTGGGTGAATTAGTTGGCTTGCGTTTACGAGCAATAGTGTAAGGAAAAGAACAAGGAAAAGGATAAAAGAACGAGGGAAGTAGAATCTTTAAGCAAAGTGGTCATCAAATGGCCAAGCTGTTTGCAATGTGGGAGCCACATGCAAACTAAGGAATTCTGCACAAACAGCGGGTTCACGCTTCTTGATCCCGCCCACTCTGGGGAGTAGGGCGAGAAGCATCCACCTGCACTACTCTGGGAATGATAATGGCTCTCTCTGTGTTCTCTTCTTGTGCTGTGATTAAATGCACAATGTTGCAGCTGTCACCGAGCAAATAAAGACGAACTGAGATCCTGACATGTAAGTTTGCTTAAGCCGTTGAGGTGCAGTGAGTGCCTTGATCTCATCGTTTCCGCCCTTAACGCGCATCAATCGTTGTCGGCCAGCAGCACCGCCCCTCCTCCCCTCACCCCACTCCGACTCCTCCGGCAGGGCTGAGGGCGACCTACGAGCAGAATCAGCTCACATCAGCCTAAAACTCGGTACTACACAAAAAGAGGAATGCAGCGTGCTTCTGAGCATGGGCGAGTAACTGTCATTCCATTTCCTTAAAGCTCTAAGAAAGAAGAAACCAAAACCAAATGTGTTGATGAGTGGAAAAGAAACAGTTTGAATTCCACTTGGAGGATCCACTGCTGAGCCATTTCTGGCTTATGTGGAATTGATAGGATAGGACATATGGAATGGAGGTGGTTAGGTACAGATAATGGGTTGTTCTTGGTCTATTAAAAATATTTTTAAATGGCATTTTAACGCCAACTTCATGATCTTATAAATATTCCTACGTATATATATAATCTCCCTAATTCTCTATGACTAAGAGTTTGCCCTTGTTTCTGGTTGGCTTTTGATGCCTTTAAATTGCTCTGTCCTGATTCCTTCTGTAAGTGATCATTTGGTTCAACTAAACTTGAACCTGAACTTGACTGAAGGCTTTTTGGAGAAAGAAAGCATCGCCAACAAATTAAGAGGTTTTAAGCATTTACTCGGCAGTTCTAGGAAGAGACGGAACTATGCACACACACCTGCCTCCAGATTCGATGGGATCCTACCTGCTTCGACCTGCCTGAAAGCCATCCTCTTTAACTCAGTGGGTAGAGAAGCTTGATCATTTGTGTGTTGAACTTATGCAAATAAGGAGTGGGGCACCTGGCCAGGCCCAGTGCTTCTCACAGGACACAGCACCACCTGGCCGGCCGGCCACCTCATTGGCAGCTCGGGTAGACACGGGGATGTGCTGTTTCTTGCAGGGGAAAGTTGGCTGGCTTGGGGCAGAACGGTGCTCTCTGCACAGCATTTCAAGAACTTGTGATATGTCAAAGACATCGTGCTGGTCTTGGGATGAGGGCGCTCGTGGAGATGTGCGAAGGCCTTGCACAAGGGCTCAGGCCCTAGTCTGGGATGGCAAACCAGAGGAGACACTGCCCCAGGGAACCTTCGGTGGATTACGTGAGCTGATAATACATTTGCAGGACAGGGTATTACTTGGAACAATATGCTGTCAGTGTGTTTTGTAAGCTGTGGAGTTATCTCCTTTTTGACTGGGATTCTAATTGGAATCTGGTAGTCAAGAGGTTACTGTTGTGGAGCCAGTCGTTTTTAAAAGGGTGCAAAGTCCCATGAGAAAACAGGCAAAATGACCAGGTCAGGAAGGGCCTGCTGAGATTGGACTCGTGAGGTAAGTAAGTAAGTAAATAAATAAATGGGGTGGAAAACCACGAGATGTGATGAGCTAGCCTGAATAGAGATGTGCTAAGTGTCCGAACAGAGATATGCTAAGTGCCTGAATAGAGATGTGCTAAGTGTCCGAACAGAGATGTGCTAAGTGCCTCAATAGAGATATGCTAAGTGCCTCAATAGAGATGTGCCAAGTGTCCGAACAGAGATGTGCTAAGTGCCTGAATGGAGATATGCTAAGTGCCTGAACAGAGTTGTGCTAAGTGTCCGAACAGAGATGTGCTAAGTGCCTGAACGGAGATATGCTAAGTGTCTGAATAGAGATGTGCTAAGTGCCCAAACAGATGCACTAAGTGCCTGAATAGGGATGATGAGGGAGCCTAAGGCAAGTTGAGGGCCAAGCAGGAGCTAACAACACCTTCCCCTCCCCCGCCCACACAAGTGGGATGTATGTGACATTCCTCAGGCACTGCTGGCTGCCCAAGAACACAGGAAAGGACAGAAAACAAATGGTTAAACAAATGGACCAGAGTCTCCATCAGTTTACAAATATCTTAGTAAATTACAAGAAAAGGGCCATCTTATCAATAGCCTCATGTCTGGGAACTCCCTACTGTCTTCAGGCTAATGCTTTGCTAGAGGGAAAATAGCCTTAGCTTGACAACAGCCAGGCCTCCAGTGATCTGTGGGTCTTCAGCAGATGGAAATCCCTTTAAGAAACTTCCTCTTGGGGCGCCTGGGTGGGGCAGTCGGTTGAGCGTCCGACTTCAGCCAGGTCACGATCTTGCGGTCCGTGAGTTCGAGCCCCGCGTCGGGCTCTGGGCTGATGGCTCAGAGCCTGGAGCCTGTTTCCGATTCTGTGTCTCCCTCTCTCTCTGCCCCTCCCCCGTTCATGCTCTGTCTCTCTCTGTCCCAAAAATAAATAAACGTTGAAAAAAAATTT